CTCAATCTGATTGCCTGCAACAGGGAGGGAGGGAGGATGCGACGGCAAAGCGCGCAACGCGCACTTCGCTCATCTTGATAGTGCCGGAGGATTAAGAGCGGCCCAAGTAGGAAAAGCAAAACGCCTGAACTGCCGACGCTGACTGCTCGGAAATGGATGAGAGCATGTGCGGATGAGTGAATGGCTGAGTGAGAAAAACAGTAGAGATGGGAATGAAAACGAACCACTAACGAAAATAACGCAAAGCTGCAGCTGAAGTACAAGGATTACGAAAGGATTCGTTTTTAACGAGATTGACAACGAACCGCAATAGTGGATGTGCATGCGAATGCGAATGTGGATCTGACTATGCGAGCGTGTGTGTAGATTCCATTTACTAGTGTTGCCTTTACAATCAAAATCGCTTAAGGAGAACATCGATTATTCAAGGACCTTACAATGATAAACATAGAAGTGCCTAGCATGTAACTGGGAACTGCACAATTTTCGAAATCTCATTCTTTTTATATAATTTCTAAATCATCTAATTCAAAAAGTTCCAAGCTTGAGCCCAAAGATATATGTATTATATGTATTATTAATATAATTTACTCATACAAGTAAAGGATATTTTTTATATAGTAAATCTTTTATATAAGCTTCAAGATTAACGAAGAAAGCATGCCAATTTGCATTACTTTTTATTGGAGAGAATTATTGGAATAGCAGAGATTTAAATATTTTAACTCCCAGAATGCAGTTATAAGTATGATTAATATTCCAAGACCGAAAACATAAATACATATATTATGCAATTTCGTAGCACATTGGCATTGCGATCTATAATAGGCTTAGCACAGATATACATACATATATGCATACAGATGTACAGCTCGAAGGATAATGGGTCAAATGAAATCGTACGTACACTTTTGTCAAGGAAGAAATATGGTTTTTCGTTTATATCTTCGTAAGGATACATCTTAAGTCAATAATTTTTCGTTTTCTTCCATAAGAATAGATAAGCTACGAAACTGCATCATTAGTTTTTTAGTAAATATCTTTAGTTCTGCCAGGTAGCAAAATATTGGATCGTATGTAGACTGTATGGTCTAAGCTTCTATCCGAGATTATTACACTCAGAAACATTATTATTATTATTACCCAATGAATTTAGCCATTAATTATTGTATGTAGAAATGTTGGAGCTTCATGAACGTTCCCCTTAAGCAATGAACACTGTAGGCGTTATAGCTGTAGCCATAGTTGTCGTTGTTTCTGTTTCTGTTTCCGTTGCTTCTCCAATGCTGTGGCACGCTTCTTTTTGCAATCAAAGCAAGTTTCGCTCATAAAACTAAAACGAAGGATTTAATTTTGCAAAATAAACACAAAATACCAGCAACAACAATACGAATAAATAAATGTTGCTAGCAGTGCTTGTTTTTTCTCTCATTTTATTTTTTTTATATTGTTTTGCTGCAGCTTTGCTTTCTTTCTGGCCTTTTTATTTAGCAAATAGACGCATGGCTGCTATTATTATTGTTGTTACCAGTTTATGTCTGCCATGAATTTTGAGATAATACAGAGAGCCGAACCAACACAGACCAACACAAACCAAAACAAACCAACACAAACCAAAGCAAACCAAACCAAACCAAACTAAACTGAAACCAAACGAGAAATTCATTATTCATTTGCAGCATAAAATAAAATAGAAAATGCAAATACAACAAATATTGCCTCTGTCTCTGCCTCTGCCTCTGTCTGTGCTGTCTCTGCCACTGCTGGCATCTACAAGGAGCGGGATGGCCAGGGGCGGATGAGTTCAGGCAAAACAGTTTTTGAGTTTTGCTTTTTTGTTGTTTGGTAAAAAAGTTTTCTAATTAAAACAACAACTGACAACGAAAATTGTCAGCACACACACACACACACACACACAAATATACATACAAACAAATGGACAAATGTACAGATAGATGTGTAGGTATATTTGCTAACTGCAAAATGTTTTGTTAGCCAACTTTTACAAAGGTGTACGGCCGGGGGGGAGGGGCAGCGAAGGGGCAGTGAGGCTGCCCTTGGCGTTACTGCTAAACAGACGCGGCCGCATTCAAACAGAAAAGCGGCACACGACGCCGGGTGAGGGGCCTATAAAGGTGGGGAGGTCGTTGTTGTTAGCAGTTGTTAGATTAGTTTGACTTTTTTGCACATCCGTGCAGTCGTCCTTTCGTCCTGCCGGCGTACCATCCAGGCACGCGTCCATCTGTCCCGATGTTTGCAGTTGTCAAATGTAAATGTGCAGCCAGGCAAGCGTCCAAAATTGTCAGTTGATGATGATGGTAGAGCTGCCAACCAAAAGGATCAAGCAATTGTTTGCATGTAAATTACTGAAAAATAACACAAATAACGAAGCGCCAGCAACAGGGCAGCATCAACAACAAAACACATTGTACTATTAGCCATTTGTCCATGTCAAGTCAACAGACATTAATTAACTGCTAGGATTTTTCAGCTTTGATTCGTAATTCAAAATATTAAGTCCGTCAAATCCAAGCTTGGTTCGCTTTAAATGAACCGAATCGTCACCTGACGAATGAGTATTCCAAGAAAATAAAAGTCGATCATTTTCTTTATTTAGTTCAGTTGAATTTACACATTGCGTAATGTACATAAATACACCTAATTCTATTTTTACACGGTCTCTTTTTACGCAGTTCTGATTTAACACGGTTTGAGAATTAAACATTTTATAAATGGATACACGACTTTATTCCATTTATCACGATTAATTTTTCATATGATCAATTCCTTCTTTTGTATACGGCTTTTTTCACGCGACCTTTTTAGAAACCAATCTATCGTGTAAAATCAGAATTAGGTGTACATACTTACATACAGGGTGCGAATATTGAATAACTTTGTCATTAGTGAACCGATTGACTTGAGTAGACCAGTGTTGAAAACCTCAGTTCAAGAAATTGTACAGAACCAAATTAAATAAAAATATCTCATACTTGAAAATCGGTTGTTTATTTTCAAAGATATTTAATGTTTACATACCGACATAAAAGATGGCGCACCCTGTACTTATGTAGGAGTGCTGGGATCTAATAGATAACAGGGCTTATAATAACAGGGCTAGATATACACTAGCCCTGCTATACAGTAGGACTGTTATACAGTAGGCCTGTTAAACAGCAACATTTTATGCAGTAGCCCTGTTATTAACAGACTCTCAATGAAGCTACAGTTGGAAAGTAGATAGACAAAGAGAAGGACAATGAAAGAAAACGAAGTAATGTATAACATCAGATCAGTTAGTCGGGCTTGAGTTGTTGAGAATATATAATATATATATAATGTTAATGGCAATGTTCTTTGAAGCAAAGTCCTCGACAACCCATGCCCTACATATATAAAACTTAATATACGTGCCACTTAACTCAATAGGTTTTAAGGATAGAATTGATTGAAAAGTTCTGGGCCTCATTTCCAGTGCCATATCGTGTAAGCTAAGCTTCATTTTCTTGTATCGTCATTTCTAATGAATAACATGGCAATCAACTGATACTAATAGCTTTCAATCGCTACGTCTTTAATGTGCAACCCCCCAACCCCACCCTCTGGACAACAGCCGCCCCCTGAAATATTTGAATGTAACCACAAACAGCACACAAAAGTATTTGCTTAAACTTTTAATCAAAACTTTTGCCATCGATTTGGTTATGCGGCAATCAAATTAATTTGTTTATTAGCCAAATGGCTGTGGCGCCCACAAGCACACACGCACACACACACACACACACACACACACACAGACAGACACAGACACAAACAAAATTGCGACTTACTGGCGGTGAAAATGATTCATAATTTTTATTATTACCGCCGCCATTGCCAGCGCCATTGAAGTTGTTGCTGGCGCTTTGTTTTCATTATTCCAAGCGAAAATTGCTGTTGTTATTGCAGCACAAATGCTGCTTCTGTTCGCACACACACACACACACACACACACACACACACACACACACACACACACAAACACAGACAAAGACACAGAAAAGTTATTATTATTTTAACAATTTCAACTCTTTTGCGCTTCAGCTGCGCACCATTTTCTATTTGCCATCGTCTGTTAGCGACCTTGCATCGAGCGTAATTCAAAAGCAATTTGTCGAAATTAAATTTGATTACATTTATCGCGCCATGAAAGCGCCTGTCTGACCTGCCCCACCCCCCACCCCTCACACTACCCCTCCCCATCCCTCCTCCAGGCCAACTAGCTGGCCCTTTGTGCTGTTGTACTGCAATTGCCGTGCAAAAGTTTGGCGCCACTTTTGTTTGGTTTTCTGTTTCCAGTTTTCAGCTTTCAGTGTTCTGTGCTCAGAGCTGCCCGCCTCCACGATTTTTAATCGTTCGTAATTACGAATTGCGTGAACATTTTGTAACAATAAATGTTCGCTTTAGTCGCAGTTACAAACAATCATTACTTACTCGTACTCGTACTCGTAAACTGCATGAAAATTGCCATCGAATGTGTGCAAAATGCCGAAACTCATTATATTGAAGCATTATATGGATGATGTCACCAGGAATGTAGTATGAAGCAAGAAATACAAGTATGCGACAAATGTGCCCGACCCGTACATTTAAAAATTTCGCCTTGACCCTCTCCCTATTCGTATCGCTATCCCGCTATTGCTATCCTTCTGCCAGAGCCAAATATTTGTGCGACTTGCAATCGCTAAGCTGAACCCTTTTGGGTTGGCTGAACCTCCTCCTGCTCCGCACCACCAATACCACCCTACCCATCCGCACTTGTTGCTCGGCCAGCTTGCTTAGTTAACGTCGTCGCCTGACATTTGAACGACAGCATAATTAAGCGTCCGGATAAACGTCGCCAAATGAAATTAAGTTTAACTTTGACATGGCCACAGCACAGGGTCGGTAAAATTAATGGCTTGGGTTGACTCTTGATACCTTTTAGAACGATGCTCTTTACTTGATGATTAATAATATTGTTTGAGTGAAAGTAAACGGAGCTTTAATTACAAGTATTTTGCTTAGCAGTTGATAATAAAATATATTATATGAGAACTATTCAAAGCCCCAGAGTTAGCTTAGAGCAAGCTATCGTAGGCGATGCGACCACTATCAATATATGGATTGGCCTCATCGCTGGAGAACTCGCGCTTCAAATTCAATCCTTTCTTCATCCACAATCCCTGGGGCCTCTTCGATGCATTGGAGTCGTCAACGCGTGATTGTTTCTTTGGCTCTGCTTTTTATATTTTAGATAGCAATATAGACAATTGTGGTCTTATACGGTTAGCTCACCATTTGAAGCATCCAGGATGGGCTGATCTTCGAGCATCATTTGCTCCAGTGCCTGCTTCACTTCCTTGTCCTTTTGCTTCTCATCCTCATCAGCGTTCACCAGTTTGTTGTGTCCTTGCTTATGATCATCCATATCCTTCTCAGAGGCTGTTGAAATGTGCTTCGAAGGTCCACGATTCAAGAGCATTTTGAAAGCTGCATAGAAACGTAGAGAGTAATAAATTGATCTTTTGTATGGCTCTTCACTTCACTTACGATTGATGGCACGTCCTATGCGTTCCATGTACTCCTCGTCAGGATTCGATTTGTCGTCTTGATAATAAATGTCAGTCATTTGCTTGGCGCTGATCACAGCTGTCCATCGATAGAATGGACAATAAGAGGTCTACAATGGATCTATATAGAGACAACTTGCGATTCCACTTACCCCACATGAAAATCGCCACGATAAGAAAGACGATGAGCAGCCAAGAGCGAGTATGCGATTCAGCCATTGTAACAACTTTGAAGATTTGTAGTAGCTCTTACAGTGTTTTAAATCACAGAGATATGTTTGTTGTGAAATATATCCAAATTTTATGTGATGACAAAAGTCTACTCCTCAAATAAACATTGCAATAACATTTAGAAACCTCAAGCCCAGTAGTACGCAGCCTCCTAAGAAAGCATTTTCTTACACTTCTAAGCCAACATAGAAAAAAAAACGGACCTTTTGGGTTTTTTGTATAATTTTCCCCGCTTTACACTGTCAATTGTTGTTTAACTTGTAGTTTTCCTTATTTTGTTTAATTAAGTAGAAAAGACAAAGCTGCCTGTACTCTTAACATTAAGATGTCTTTTAAATATCTTGTAAATTCATGACGTTTTTAAGAAAAGTGAAAAAATTTAATTTAAATTGAAAAAAAGGGAGCTGCTCACCAACACGCCATGAAAATGCTGCTACAGAATGTATTTAATGCCAACTGTATATAATGCTTCCACTTCTGATCATTGTAAGGAGGTGTCAGGGGGATCCAATAGACAATAAACTAAACACCGGTATTTAATTACAACCACACTATACTTTAAATAACTAGTTTCTTACACTTTACATAACGTCTTCACAAACAGTTTCTCATAGTCTTTCAAACAGTTTCTTACATTCTCATATTATAATCTGTTTTTATACATTTTTTTATTACATCATTTGAATATACATCTTACAGTAGTTGCTTATATACACATATTTACATATACACATCTCTATATACTTGCATATAAAACAGTTTGTCCTGACTGACTGACTGATTGGCAATCAACGCACAGCCCAAACGGTACAGGCTAGAAACTGAAATTTTGACACAAGATCTCTCTCATAGTGAAAGTGAGCACTAAGAAAGGATTTTGGAAAGTTCGAGCTCCAAAGGGGGAAAACGGTCTCCAACGTTTGAATGAAAAATCTACAATTTTCATCAGATTTACTTCAAACTTAATTTGTATACTCTCATTAAGAATACAAGAAAGACTAAGTAAGGCTTTTAAAAAATTCGAGCTCCAAAGGGGGAAAAACGAGCTTTAAAAAATATTAATTACAAGAACAAAAATGTAACGGACCAGTTAGTACAGTTAGTTTTGTCAAGAAGAGAAAATGTTCATTTAAATACTTTAAATGCCTTCCTACTGGTAACTAATAAGGTGAAAACATATGGATAAGTCATGCACACACAATATAAATACAATTTGAAACATTTTTGTGAAACTGGGTCGGCTTTATTCCAAATATTTTCGAAAATACGAATTGCTTTTTACACATTTCTTTTTTGTAGTGTATTTTATTTGTAAATACATTAAATTAGAAAAAAATACATTGATTAACATGAGATTAGAAATTTGTAGCCAATTGTTTAAGCTGCTATTGGGAAATGATCTCTTTCTTGACAACCAATAAACGTTGAGAAGAAGCCATTACATCTGTCTTAAGAAAGTGCAGCTATAATTACAAAGGAACGCCCCAATATTGGCGGCAGTTCTATGAGAATTCCACATGCATATCCATGTGTTAACAGTATAGCTTTATTTTAAGGCGAATAGGAAAAAAATATGAAACCACTGCAGCACATGTTATAATTATAACAGTTAACATACAAACGGAAAGAGCGCATAATTCTCAAATCCAATTCTCAAATCCAGAAACCAAAAACCTAAAAAATCACCAACGGCAACAGATACGAGCCTCAGTAAGACTCGTTCAGACAATAGCCTGTCTGCATTTTAATTGTTGCCACTTTGTTGTCTGTGTATGCGTGTGTGTGTGTTTGTGTTTGTGGCGCCCCAACAGTAGCCGGAGCCACCTTATACTCAAATCCTGATGCTCGGTTATGTTTAACTATTATCACTGCTACGCTCTTTGAACTCAGTGTGCCACAATTTTGCTTTATGTGGCTGTTCCGGTTCCACCGCCTCCCTTCGTGCTGCATTCGCGTCGTGCCAAGCAACAGACAGACAGACAGACGGACAGACGGATAGACAGACAGTCTGTCGGACAAACATATAGACAGACATACTCGTACTCGTATAGACAGACAGCGGCAGCATTGCACAAGTTGCTAAAAGTTAAAGTTTTTGTGGTTGTGGCCATGGCGGTGGCGGTGGTGATGATGGTGGCATCAACAGTGTGGTGGTGGCGCTGATGCACACAAAGAGTTCTCTCCTGCTTCTTTTGCTTAATTTTTGTTGTTGTTGTTGTTGTTGTTGCTGGTATTATTATATAAGCCACCCAAAAGCCGCCCACTAGCATAAACGTTTGCTAACAAGACCAACAATTTTTGATGTGTGCTATGCAAACTAAACGTTGTGCACTGTGCACAAGTCTTTGCGTTCGTGTGTGTGTGTGTGCGTGTGTAGGTGTTGGTGTGCCTGCACTGCAACCTTAAGGCTGCGCATGTGTGTGTGTGTGTGTGTGAATTTTGTGGCTAAAACTTTGAATCCCCAATATTTGAACCGAACAATTTTTGCAACAAATTCAAAAGGCGAAAACAAAATTCAAATAAAATGTTTGAGGTTAGCCAAAAATATTTTCGCCGCACGCAGACATTAACATTTAAATATGCACACACATACTAGTGCATACATACATATATATGTATATACGAGTAGTAGGAGTATGTATGAGTGTTTTGGATGGATGTGTAGTGGAGTTTGGCCCGTTTATTGTTGTTGCTTAGACATGTCAGCCTAAGCAGTAAGAGTAACAAGAGGGGGGTACAACAACAATGGCAATAGCACAACAGTAATAACGACGCCCATTTTGCTTTATTAAAATGTCAAGCCAAAAAGGGCGCAGCAATAAAACGTTGTTGCTGTTGTTGTTGTTGTTGTTGTCGCTTTGGCTTCCATTAAATGCACAAAGCCCCAGCGTAAATAAAACAAAGCAAAATGGCAAAATGGCAAATGGTAGCACAAGCAAACACACACACACACACACGCATACAGACAACGGAGTTAAAAACATCTTAAAAGCTACTTTTAACCACAATTATGTAAATATTAACAAAACGTAGGCCAAGACAAAAGGCAGCGAACAGCAGCCAAGCCAAAAGGGAGAAAGGACAGGCATAGAACAGCAGCGCTACGGAAGCATAGACTGCGAGGCAGACAGAATGACAGACAGACAGGCAGACAGACAGACACGGACGGACGGCAGACAGACGGAAACAACATTCAAAGCCGTTAAGGCACACATGAAACTCTTGCCGCTCGCACTAAATGGTTGTTGTTGCTGTTGTTGTTGTCCTGCCTACCTGCTGCTCCGACACAGACTCTGACTACTCCGCCCTCCGCCCGCCTCTCCACCGGCACTCCGCCCGCCCGCAGAGACACGGTGACAGGTGTTGAGAGTTAACACCATACACATACTTGTACATAAGCCCCAAACCAACCCAACCCAACCCATGCCCATGCCCATGCCCGTGCCCGTGCCATCCCATCCTGTTTAGCCAGCCCGCTTGAGTGGCGTTCATCAGGCACTGCATTATGATTGAAAAGTTGTCACCGCACGTCACGTTTCATGCTAAAGTCAAATGTGCAGATAATAAAAAAGCAATCGTCCAACGCTCTACTCATATGTATGTACATATATATGAAAATATATTTTTATATGCCATACTCCAAGGCACACTGGTTAGAAACTTATTTAAATACTAGCGTCCTGCCCCTGCTTCGCACGGGTATTTTTACACAAATTTTAAAAATTATACGTTTTATCACACACACTTAAAACATACACCCTTCTTTTTGCTATGAGTTACTAAGAAGGAGTGACATTTATTTTGCATATTATTATTTTAATGCTTTTTTGTTCGTTTTTAGATTTTTTTGTTATTTTTTATTAGGTCAGAGGTTCACTGTAAAAGATATTTGATGTTTTATTTTGTGGTAGCAAAATAAATTGATTTTTAGGAGCTACGGCCCGTGATAGGTCAACATACAGTAAAACATTGCTTTCGTATGTCGATCCCTACTAATTCGAAGGCTTAGCCTTATTCGAAGGCTTAGCTTACCGGGAATTGAAGCCATATAAATGATCAAATGGGATCATCGGTATCCTTGGTACCCTCGTTATATGAGCTAGTGGACCAGTTGCCGGGCCGTTGATAATACTTGCTACACTTAAATTGTCCTGCAATTCCTTAATAAGCAGCCTCGTCCCATTGCACATGCTTGGAAGGCTTTAATTTCTCAAAAGCATGATTGCAATTCCGAATTTTACCGTCAATTCGTGTGGTGGCAGTCCAAAAGGGCTTAGTTAATTTAAATGTCTTCAATATTAATCACGGAGTCGATCGATTTGTAATTTTTTATTTGGCTGGGGGCTTTTGAATAATACTGCCCTAATATTTAAAGTGACAATGTTTCGAGGATGAATTTGAACAGCATGTTATTCAGGAGTTTTTTAAGGTAATTTTTTACACCTTTGGTTACATTATTGGCGTTTTAGTAAGGATTCCATTCCTTTTTGCAAATATAATATAGCCCATGTTCACCGTCGATAGTACAAGTATAGCTTCCCAACAGTGAAAGAATCCATTAAATCGGTCTAGTAGATTCGGAGCCTTTTCAATTCAAACAAACAAACAAACATACAAACAATCAAATCTTTCCTGTTTATAATATTAGTATAGATATTAAGCTAGCGTTTCCGGCTGAATTGTAGTGCTTTCTAAGATTTCCGACGTCACATCTCCAAGGCTTCGATTAGGTCCTTGAGTATAGTTAGATACCCACAGTCGTCCACCTTTCTTCGTCTGTACAAAGCATATCCACAGTCCTCTGTTTGTGTTTCTTGGGTCTGATGGGGATGCCCTTTCCCGCATTTGCCGAAGCCGCAACTCACGCTCTTGTTCCGTTTCTATGGCTCTAGAGTCTAGACGTATGTAGATGCTCTTTCGCAAAAATCTCATCATTTCCAACTGCTCTTTCTTCGCTCAGATTTTTTGGATTTTGTGGTTGTTTTACCAATAGATGTTTTTTATGCCACTTTTTTGTATACGATTTTAAAATTTTATTTATTTACGAATGAACCACTGACAAACAGAGTAAAAAGTGACTGTCAAACAAATGCAAATAAGCAGAAATAAGCCAGAAAACGATGGTTGATCGCGTTAACCTATCGCCACGAAACTTCACAGGATTACCCATTGGACTATTTTGAATATTGACACACTATTTTGAATTTGATCAACTATACGGAATATACATACATACTTCCTTTTACTTGTATATATATATATATAGATATAATAATATTAAAAAAATATTCATACAGCTACCAGGCAGAAACCAGGACGTAAATTTCTTGGCTTCAATCAAAAAGGAAACAAATTTAATTTCGGTTCGCAGCCTAGAACTGACTTATTCCTACAATATCTCTCTTATATCTTATATCCCTCTTTTTATTTGTATTTATAGCCATGTTTCCGAAATACACTTGGAAACGTTTTCAGAAACTATATTCAAAAACGCTTCTAGTATAGAACTTTTCAGCACCACATTGTCACTAAATTTCGAATTTATGAGGGATAAGCTGTCATAGGAACTATAAACTTTCTTAGAAGAAACATCCTTGCGGGCTCTGACAATTTTACAGCCAAGCTCTCTTGTAATTGTATTCCTCTTAAAGTTTCTTTTATGCTTATAATCAAATCTTTAAACCTTGTTTCATATTTGAAATAATTATGTTGTTTTACGTGCATTTAAAAACCGTTAATATAGTATTTCACTTTAAAAAAAAAAAGTACAAAACACATATTGCTTTTAAAAATAAGGAAATCAGCGGAATCATTCCGTTTACCCGAATGGTACTAAAGAGAATATCAAAAGCAAATTATTAGCAGCAAACAGCTCTGAATAAAAGACAATTTTATTGTCAAATTCGCTTATTTTGATTCCATTTTTAATCAAGAGCTTACTAGATTACTGCATTTTATTAAGTTTTTAAAAGCGTAGGATTTCTGTGGTTGCCATAATTAAAGGACTAACTAATATATAAGCATATAATATAAAGTGTCTGTTTGGTTGCCAAGATAATTAAAAAAAAAACAATTAATTTTTTCAGTGTGAAATAGCGCCATATAGAGATGGGATCTGTCTATAGAATCAGAACTAATGTGGCAAATTTACAATTGAGTCCATCTTCAACAATTTCGGATCAATAGTTTCGAGCTGCCGTACTCCATCCTTGTCCACCACATAAACCTCGAAATTTTCCAGCTCAACCAACGAACGCTTTTGTATCTCCGATACGCACCTCTTGAGTATATCGTAAGCCTCCGATTCGGTGAGCTTGTTATGCCAATTTTCCGCCAGTATTGTCGAAGTGAAAACACTGCCGTAGCCATGGCCGGCATGCTTGAACCGATATGCAGAGCCAAGGGAGTCAATTATGTGCAAGTCTGGTCCATCCTTTTCGTCATAGCTGTGCAGAATATGTGTTACATATATCGAGAAGTGTGCTAGGCTTGAAGGTATTTTTTTGTTTGTATTTTGTATTACCCGGCAAGCATTGTTGTGACCAAATATCTGTTGTGGGCGCGGGCGTATTCCATAAATGTGTTACGTGTAGAATGTGCCACCGAGCGCGGATTCTTCGAGTAGCCGTTCTTTATCTGATAGAGATTAACATCTCTGGAGACGAGTCTGGTGAGCTGACGACTATCGCCAGCATCTCCCGTCACGGCCATCACCGAGTATTTTGAGAGGGGAAAGAATTTCGATTGATCTGGCGGAGGCAGAGTCTCTATAGAAACCAATGAGCTGCTTTTTTGACTTACTTTTCCGTATGACCATCAAGGTTTTCGCTTGCATGGTATCGCAGGCCATCATGGCGCACTCATATCCCCTAATACCCAACATTGTCTCCATTATGTCAGCAATTTAGTTACTTCGTTTTTGTTTAAAATTGTTTTGATTTAAGTTGAAGGTTCCGACGCCTACCAGTTCGGATAAATACATATAGTACTAAGGGCCTGTGTTGCTGCGCCTCTAAAGAAACAAACTTTCACGCTGATCCCTTGGCTTAGCCAAAAGTTTCAGCTTCGTGTAGATTAGAATAGACCTAACAAGGTAATGGCCCTTGTTGGCCCTTAGATTGAAAATTTTTTAGGCAAAAGGGAGACGTCTTACATTACATTTTTTTCTGCTACACGCTGCTTGCAATGGAAAGCCCCATTATTACAAAATCACGGCCTACGGCTGGAACCACTGCTCTGAGCTCTAAAATGTTTCAATTTTGAAGGGAAAATTTCTAGAAATATATTTTAAACCATTGAAATTCCAATTGAGTTTGTGTACATTCCGGTTTCTCCCACTGTTTCCTCACCTAATCGAACATATTTAGAGACCACTAATAAACTCAACTTACTTCTTTCAAGCAATGCGGGGGCTATGAATTTACGGAAAGATTTTCATAAAAATCAATCCATCATATTAAGGTCCTGTAGTATATAAAGATAGATACATGGTTATAATATCTAAGTAGGTAAGGACAAAAAATTTAATTGCATTGAATATAAATGTATATAAAAAATCAATACCAAATAATAAATATAATTACCTATTGGAGAATTTTAACAAAAGTTAACTTGATTTATGATTTCATCGAATGATGATTAAGGTTTCTTGTTAAAACAATCGAGTTTTCTCCATAAACTATATGCTTTTTAATCGTAAAAACAAGCGGCGAACTTGAAGCCACATTATGCTTTTATATACGCTTTATTATATAGTGGGAACTATCGGTCCAGGATTACTTACTTATTTAGTGTTACAATGAACGATTGTTTCAATATTTTGTTGAACATAACTCAAAACATTTTCTAACTTCTCAGGAATATATCAATATCGGCTGCTCCCCACACACATCGATGGGATAATAGTCGAATGATGATTAATGTTTCTGGCTTTAACATCGCATAAACTATTTGCTTTTTAATCGAAAAAACAATCGTCGTAGGAAGCGCCGAACTTGAAGCCACATTATGCTTTTACATACGCTTTATTATATAGTGGGAGCTAACGATCCAGAACTACTTAATCAGTGTTACAATGAATGATTGTTTCAACAAATTCTGGTATCAATATTTTGTTGAACATAGCTCAAAACATTTGCTAACTTCTCAGGAATGTATCAATATCGGCTGCTCCCCACACACATCGATGGGATAATAGTTATTTTTTGCATTGCCTAACACCAAAATTTGTTGCTCCTTCAGTATCAAAGGAATTCAAAGGATTCTAGGGGCAAGTGCAGTGCATCTATTAATTCGAGCCACCATTTTAACTACTACGAGTACTGGCAAGCACATAAATTTATGTAGTGCCATTAATAAGCATAAAAGCATTCACCCCCTTGGCTCCAGACCACTCGGTAGCTTTGAGCGTTCCTTTGGGCCACGAGCGCCACTTCAACGGCTGCGCTTAAAATGTTTTCAATGCTGTTCAATAATTCTTACAAGGACAACAGCGCGAGGACGACGGCGTCGATGGCGACAATGGCGACAATGGCGACGATGGCGACATCGGCAACCAAGACGACTAATGAGCATGATAAACGACAAGCTGGCAGCTGCTGCTATGATGATGGGATGCTGGGATGTTCAGATGCTGGGATGCTCGGATGCTGGGGATGGTGGGATGCCGATAGCCGGGGGGCGCGGCTGACTAAGAGAAAAGCCAAAGCTTTTGCTGCTGTTTGCTTAAAAAATTGTGCGCTCAATGAAGTGGTGTGTAAATAACGCCGTTATATTTCAAAAAGCGCTTAATATCAGACGCATCCATTTATTATTGCAAGGATAACCAAAGAACATGCCGGTCTTTGCGAAGCTTAAACGCTTGCTCCTTCGTTTTGGTCTTTGGCTCATTTGTAAAGCTGCTGCGAATAAAACTGCTAATTATTTCTAGTCAGCGGATAAAACCTCACATGGAAATGCAACAGGAACTTGCACAATACAAAAGAATTCCTTCCCTGCTGCTTCAGACTTCAGCACACATACACACATAAAAATATGTGTCGTATATACACATACATGCCTTTATACGTACCTGCTGCCGTTTAGAGTTACTTTAAATGATAAATGGCTGGGCAGCAGCAACAACAGCCACAACAACAACAAAGGCTGCCTGCAGTCCATACGCTGCTTTTGTCACAGCTACAATGGCAAGGAATGACTTGGTCGCTCCTCTGAGGAGGTGGGAAAGGAGGGATGAGATGAAGGCAGCAGGCACAGGGAGCAGGGAGTCCTCGGGCAGTGCTTACCTTACTTTTAATATGTTAAACTGGATGATGCTGCCAGGCCAAGCCAGACACAAAGTGTGGCATACCAGGCATGAGCATCAGCATCAGAATCAGTATCAGCCGACACCGCCTCCACGACAACACACACTAAGAGGCAGGGCTGCAAACGGTTCCAAGTAGAACCGGTTCCTCAAACCAAATCCGAACCACCGAACTAATTATATTTCCCATTTTGAAGCGTATTTTAAAGATTTAATTATTTAATTGCTTTTTGTTTGCATTTTGAATTAAGAGCCCAATGCTCTGGTGGTCCCTAAGTTAATTTTAAACTTTACTTCTATTTGGCAAATGTTTATTTTTCGAAAAATCTGTACCTTTTATCAAAACCCGATGTAGGAAAAGAAAACAAGGCATTGGAATTTTAATATATAAACTAATTGACCTCTCTCAGACAAAACCAGAACAGAAACCTAACAAGCCATTGTCCATAATCTCATTTGAATTAACTGCAAAATGTATTAAATAAAGTAGGATGGAACTAATTAAGTTTCCCATTTAGAAACGTATTTTAAAGACTTCATTGTTTAATTGCTTTTTGTTTGTATTTTGAATTAAGAGAAAAATTTCGAAAAATCTGTACCTTTTATCAAAACCCGATGTAGGAAATAAGAAGAATGCATTCGAATTTCCAAATATAAATTAATTGACCTCTTTCAAACAAAATCAGAACAAACTAATAATAATTAGAATAATAACAAGTAGGATGGAAGATCCAAGCCCGTTTTAATATTTAATGAAATCTAAAACCATATTGTATGCGTTAGTATTGGCAAATACAAATATTTCTGTGCTAGTATTTGCATCCCTATTACCTATTCTTCGTAGTGCTTAGAAAGCTACAAAATGGAACTTGATATATTTTGTATCATTAAGATCTGTCCTAAAAGATCTATCCTTAAAGGACAATTATTAAATCAGATTCAGAAAATTAAATGCATTTTTGTAATTTAACATGGGGTTTTGAAGATTAAGATTAAAGGTTATTTAGAGACTCTAGATGACCCGGAATGGAAGATAAAGCGGGTGGAGTCCAGTGGAACGTAATATGAAACTATAAAATAGCTAGTACTTAAAAAAAAAGAGTTGCAAATAAAATATGTATTACAGTTATTTACTGAACTGACTTTCTTTTCAATAAATCCCTGATGATAATCAGATAGTATAGTATAGAATGTGAATTAATTGGAACTTTTGGTTCAACTCGGATGCTCAGATCTACATCAGCTTTCCATCCCTGTCCACACTTCGCCACTCACATGTGAATGAAACTTAAACGCAGTTCATAAAAAATAAAGCTGGGGAGGAAAAAAAGAAGAACTCCTCGTCGAGCGGAGCAGCAGATAGCCAAGCGGCGTGAGCTCGCAAAACTGTAGCCAAGCACTTTTTGATTTATAGAGCAAAAGAGGCGTGCGGGCTCCGGGTTGAGGGCTGCGGGGCTGCGGGTTGTGGACTACGGACTGTGGACTGCGGACTGCGGACTGCGGAATGACGGTTGGACGAACGGAAGTGTAGACAATTTGTTAGAATTTATACAAAAACGCAGCCGGAGTTGGGCACAAAATGGTTGAAATTGTTACGCCCACATAGCACATGGAACATGAGTGGAATTTCAGTTTAAAGTGCCAAAAGAAAAGGAGAGAAAAGAATAGGGAATAGAAAGGAATGGAATATACATACTATGTAGTATGTAATAGAAGAACGCATAAAAAAATTATATGGTGAGTGTAGCTAAACAAATGTGCCGGCTTTTGTTGTAAAGTTCAACTAATGATTTTCACTTAGAAACTAAATGCAAAATGTGGGCTCTACGAGTACGAGTATATATGTGTGATGTGGGTGTGTGTGTGGGTGTGTGGGTGTGTGTGTGTGTGATGTGGTTGGGTCCTTCCATAGTACTAGTTCATACTATATTCCATATCTCTATGAATCTTCGACCCACAGCTGCTGCACAGATTTACATGACATTTTGTCATTGTTGTTGTGCATGCTCGTAGTTGTTGTTGTTGCTACTCTTGTTGTTCTTGTTGTTGTTGTTGTTGCTGTAGCGCTGTCTGTTTTTATGACGTCAATTATGTTTATGAGCGTCTAAACAAAAGTCCTATAAAGCCGTCGTCGTTGTCATTCTTGTCCTTGTCGTTGTCAACGTTTATTTTGTGTCTCTGCGTTTCTGTATATATGTGTGTGTGTGTGTGTATATATATCTACATATATGTATATATATATGTGTGTGTGTGTGCGTGTGCCTTTGGCTTACTCCGTGCATATTTCGCTCCTTTTTATGGGGTCAGGCTCAGGGGCCACCACGATAGCATGGCTACACTCATATGTGTATGCATGTATGTTTTGTGTGTGCGTGTGTGTGTGTGTGTGAATGTTTGTTTGTTTGGTAAGGAGGGACAGAATGTAGTTTGAGTTTAAGTGAATTTATTACCATGAGCAAAATTTATTTAAGCAGTCAAATGCACGTGAAGTGCATCTCAAGAAAGAAGCTGTCAGTGTGCGCTGACATCAAAGCATGCGAGTGAATGAGTTACTGACTGAATGAGTGAGTGAGTGAGTGAGTGAGTGAGTGAGTGAGTG